TAACAGAGGTGCATTATACCGGATGGCCCACTCCTCCAAATGGTTGGACTACAATTACATATACAGATGCTATACTTTATATTTCAATCTGTACAATATACCAACAACATAGCCCCATTATAGCTTCACTGCGTGAGCTCTGTATTATATACAAGCAACATATGTGCATTACATAACAGAAATCGCCATAAATGATGTTTTCATGGTTCTGGGTATACAGAGTGTATATTATATACGTCCTATTGCGTCATCTGTATAAGATGCCGACAACTTAACGACAACATCGCTTCCTTATATGTACTGTGTACATTATATAAACAACATAGCTGCAGTATTTGTATGCTAAAGTTTCAATGTTGTTGGCCGGTTGGCGGCAAGGCGAGCAACGTGACCTGCTCATTTTTACGGGACCTTACTTGTTCGCTGGAGTTCCGCTCATCTTACTGGAGCCTGACTGCTTATATGGTCATGAACAGATACGCCAAAATATCCCTCATTATCATCCCACTGAAACGGTGCGTGCAAAATTAATGCATTTGATTCGGCAGAGGTTCTGAAGGCCGCCGACAGCATCAACACCAAACTTTAAGCCGCGATCTTCACCAGAACAACTGATCCACCGCTGTGACCCGACTAGGATGTGATCTTGGATTGGCATAGAATAATTCATCAAGGAATCGTGAACAAGCAGCGAAGTGCTCGGTTCCTTATTCACTTTTGTCTCATTCTAGTGATTATAATGGTTTCTAGATCTCAATCGACAGCTGAAAATGAAAAGTCGGCAACGCTGGCTCGAAAACAGCTGACACGAAAAGTAAAAAGCTCGGCGCAGCAGCTTATGAGGAATGGCATTGTGAGTGCTGTCGATGGCTACTCATCTTCAAAGCAGTGGGTATTTTCATTGCTTGTTAGATAGATGGGTGCGTTCCGCAGAATGATACATTTCATGGGTTTTCGATCAGTGTGGTGGCCCTATTCATCTCCCATGCCGACTAATTTGTAAATTTTGCGCCGATTCACTTCGTTTTCTTCCAACGCAAAACATTATCTCCTAAATTCTGTTCTCGAATTAACTGGACGGACTGGCTATTGCGTTCAAAGTGTCAGTTCACCCTAGCGAGTCACGCATTCCGTGATCGCTGTTCCAACCATTTTGGGTTTTTACTGACTTCTTAGAAAACCGGCGAGAAGCATTGGAAAGGGAACGAAAAAAGTTCTTTTATCGTAACTGTTAACGTCAAAATTGTTAATGTGAAAAGAAAATACGAAGATTGAGCGGCGACGAATCGCTGGTTGCTGGGGAAGTCAGGGTGCAAAATTCACTGAGAAATTTGAAGTTAGTGCAGAAACATAGCATCAAGACTTTTCGGGTCATCAATGCTAGTAATGTTACTGGGATGTACCACAAACCGAGCTCAGCTGTGCCGGGCCCCAGATAGCATTAGTTTTTAAAAAAATATTGTCTTTCAGCAAAAATGACGTCAAATTCCGTGGAATGCGCCAAAATTGTGCTGTTCGCACGCAAACCTCTCTTCTATTGCACTTCCTTCATCGTTTTCCAGAACGCAGAATAGTATAACCCGGGCCCCGGTACAGCAGGTGGCATGTTCTGTGCATCACAAGTGTAAATCGAGAAAAATTGGCCAACGCATGGGCTGCCCTGCGAAGATGCGTTTTTTGCACAGTTCCCTGCAGTTTTTGTCGCTACCGGCATCGGTTTTTTCGACAGATGCTTCTAGTAGAAAGAAT